CCTCAGAGGGATGAATAACAACGAAATAAGGCCAAAAAAAAAATTATTAAATGAATAAATAAATAAAATCAAAGGAAAGACAAACACAATGGCAAATACAGATGCTAACATATCAATATTAACTCTAAATGTAAATGGACTAAACTCTTCAATAAAAAGACACAGAGTGGCAGGCTGGATTCAGAAACAAAACCCAACCTTTTGCTGTCTCCAGGAAACACATTTAGCTACAAAAGATAAAAACAGACTCAAAGTTAAAGGATGGAAAACAATCCTACAAGCAAATGGACCAAAAAAGAAAGCAGGAACAGCTATACTTACATCAGATAAAACAGATTTCAAACTCAAAAAGATAAAAAGAGACCCCAATGGTCACTACATTATGATCAAGGGGACAATACTTCAAGAAGAAATAACACTCATTAACATATACTCACATATACTCCGTTTGGAGGAGCACCAAAATATATCAGACAACTGTTGTCCTCTCTGAAAACAGACATCAGAGAAAACACATACGTAGTGGGAGACTTCAACACACCACTATCAACAATGGATAGATCAACAAGACAAAAAATAAGTAAAGAAACCAAAGCTCTAAATAAGGACCTAGAGCATTTGGGCTTAACAGACATCTATAGAACACTAAACCCGAAAAAAACGGAGTACACATTTTTTCTCAAGCACACACGGATCATTCTCCAGGATAGATCACATATTGGGGCACAAGACAAACATCAACAGATACACCAAGACTGAAATCATATCAACCATCTTTTCTGACCATGAAGGCATCAAACTAGAAATAAATCATAAAAAGAAGGCAAGGAACTTTCCTACCTCATGGAGATTAAAAACCACACTACTGGAAGACCACTGGACTAATGAGGAGATCAAAGAAGAAATTAAAAAATTCTTTGAATTGAATGACAAGGAGGACACCAATATCCTAAATGTATGGGATGCAGCAAAAGCAGTAATAAGAGGAAAATATATAGCAATAGAAGCTCACATCAAGAAACAAGAAAGAACTCAAAGAAACAACCTAATCTCAAAGCTCAAAGATCTAGAAAAAGAACAACAAAAAAAAAACCCAAAACCAGTAGAAGAAAAGAAATAATAAAAACCAAAGCAGAAATAAATGAAATTGAAACTAAAAAAACAATCCAAAAGATCAATGAAACCAAGAGCTGGTTCTTTGAAAAAATCAATAAAATAGATAAACCCCTAGCCAGGCTCACAAAGGAAAAAAGGGAGAAAGCACAAATAAACAGGATCACAAATGAAAGAGGAGAAATCACAACGGACACAGCAGAAATCAAAAGAATAATCAGTAACTACTATGAACAGTTATATGGAAACAAGTTCAACAATCTAGAGGAGATGGACAAATTCCCACAACTCTACAATCACCCAAATCTAGATAAAGAAGAAATAGAACACCTAAACAGACCAATTACAATTAGCGAAATTGAAATGGTAATCAAAAACCTTCCCAAAAACAAAAGCCCAGGACCTGATGGATTTACAAATGAATTCTACCAAACATTCAGAGATGAATTAGTGCCTATCCTTCACAAACTCTTCCAAAAAATTGACAATACCAAAGGGACAATATCAAACACGTTCTATAAAGCCAACATTACACTAATACCAAAACCGAACAAGGACAACACAAAAAAGGAAAACTACAGGCCAATCCCCCTAATGAACACTGATGCGAAAATCCTCAATAAAATTTTAGCTATCAGAATCCAACAATGTATCCATAAGATAATTCACCACGACCAAGTAGGATTCATTCCTGGGACACAAGGATGGTTTAACATCCGAAAATCAATCAACATTATCCAACACATCAACAAAAAGAAATATAAAAACCATATGATAATATCAATAGATGCTGAGAAAGCTTTTGACAAAGTGCAACACCCATTCATGATAAAAGCCCTTGAAATTCTTGGGATACAAGGAACATACCTCAACATCATAAAGACCATCTATGACAAGCCAACAGCCAGTATCATTCTCAATGGTGAAAAGCTGAAAGCAATTCCATTAAGATCTGGAACAAGACAAGGATGTCCACTCTCACCACTGCTTTTCAATATAATACTGGAAGTCCTAGCCAGAGCAATAAGACAAGAGAAAGACATCCAAGGAATCCAAATAGGAAAAGAAGAAGTCAAACTATCACTATTTGCAGATGATATGATAATATACATAGAGAACCCCAAAAACTCCACAGAAAAACTAATTCAACTAATCAATCAGTTCAGTGAAGTGGCAGGATACAAAATCAACACGCAAAAGTCAGTAGCCTTCCTATACACAAACAATAAATCTGAAGAAGAAGAAATCAAAAAAACCATCCCTTTTATTATTGAAACAAAAAAAAATCAAATATTTGAGAATAAATCTAACAAAAGAGGTAAAGGACCTATACAAAGAAAACTATAAAACACTGTTAAAAGAAATAGAAGAAGACACAAAGAAATGGAAAGACATCCCCTGCTCATGGATTGGAAGAATAAACATTATTAAAATGGCTATCCTACCAAAAGCAATATACAGATTCAATGCTATTCCAATCAAAATTTCAATGTCATTCTTCAAAGAAATACAACAATTATTGATGAAATTCATATGGAATCACCAAAAACCCCAAATAGCCAAAGCTCTCCTGAAAAAAAAAGAAGGGAATGGAGGCATCACACGCCCAGACTTCAAACTATACTACAAAGCCATAATCATCAAAACTGCATGGTATTGGAACAAGAACAGACATACAGACCAATGGAATCGAATAGAAAATCCAGAAATAAACCCACAGATTTATGGTCAACTAATCTTTGACAAAGGAGCAAAGACTATGCATTGGAGCAAAGAAAGTTTGTTCAATAAATAGTGCTGGGAAAACTGGGTTGCTACATGCAAAAGAATGAAGCTTGACCACTACCTCACACCATACACAAAAATCAACTCAAAATGGATTAAAGAACTAGACATAAGACCTGAAACCATAAAATATATAGAAGGAAATATAGGCGAAACACTACGGGATTTGCACATCAAAGACATCTTTACAGACACATCACCCAAAGCAGTGATAGTGAAGGCAAAGATAAACAGCTGGGACTACATCAAATTAAAGAGTTTCTGCACAGCAAAAGAGACAATAACAAAAACAAAGAGAAACCCCACCAACTGGGAGAACATTTTTGCACACAACACTAATGATAAAGGACTGATCACAAAAATCTGCAAAGAGCTGATGAGACTCAACAACAACAAAGAAAATAATCCAGTCAAAAAATGGGCAGAAGAGCTAAAAAGAAACTTCTCTGAAGAGGAAATGCAAATGGCCAACAGGCATATGAAAAAATGTTCAACATCACTTGTAATCAGGGAAATGCAAATCAAAACTACCATGAGATACCATCTTACACCAGTGAGAATGGCACATATTAAAAAAACTGGCAACAACAAATGTTGGCGAGGGTGTGGAGAAAAAGGAACTCTTCTGCACTGTTGGTGGGAGTGCAAACTGGTCCAACCACTATGGAGAGCTGTGTGGAGATTTCTGGACCTACTAAACATAGAGCTTCCATATGATCCAGCAATTCCACTCCTAGGTATTTACCCAAAGGACACAGAAACATCAATTCCAAAGAACACCTGCACCCCTATGTTTATAGCAGCACTGTTTACAATAGCTAAGCTTTGGAAACAGCCCAAATGCCCAAAAATAGATGACTGGATCAAGAAGATGTGGTACATATATACCATGGAATATTACTCAGCATTCAAAAAAGATAAACACATGCAATTTGCAGCAACATGGATGGCGCTGGAAGGGATCATGCTCAGTGAAATAAGCCAAAAAGAAAAAGAAAAATACAGGATGGTCTCACTCATAGCAGGAATCTAGAAAACTTAAATAAGGGACCAGAAAATGAATAACTATAAGAAAGTGAAAATCAAAATCAACAAAAAACTATGAACCAGAGACACTTTTTGGGGGGTGGGGGGCGGGAGGGGAGGGATTGGGGTCAGAATGGGGGGGTTGCAATTGTATGGGGAATATAAAAATAAAATTTATTATTTAAAAAAAAAAGTTCAAAATATACATATCCCATGACTGAACACTTTCATTCCTAGATATATACCTTAAAGAAACTCACACACTTACATGAGGAGGCACATACAAGATTGTTCATTACAGAATTGCTTGTAGTAGCAAAAACTGAAAACAACCTAATTATTCATCAGAAAGATAATGTATAATTGTGATATATTCTTATATTGGAATACCCTACACTTTATGAAAATGAATAAACTATATAGTTGTTCATACCTACGTGAGTGACTCTTAACAAAACTGAATGAAAATAATGTGGTAGAAAATTCATACAATACAAATTCAAAAACACTGTGTAAAAGCATTAATTACTACCTATTTTTTTTTTTTTTAGTATACATGAATATATTCTAAAAGCTAAGAAGTGGACATGGGAAAATTCAACAGGAGAGTTACCTCTTAGAAGATAGTATTAAATATGGGCATTAAGGAGGCTCCCTGGTGGTGCAAGGGGTTAAGTCTCAGCACAATGAAACTATCACCAGTCACTGCAACATGAGTTCGATGCCCAGCCAGGGAGGTAACCCACATGGCGCAGCGACCTCTCCTGTCTCACCCGCTGCTCCCCTCAACAGTATATTTCAGTCAATCTGCCTGTTCTGCTCCCCACTCTGTCTCTGGTGAATCCTCTCACCCCTATCCCCACATCTCTGGCCTATACCCCAGTTCTTGGATGCATAAATCTTTTTTTTAAATGGGCATTAAAATGCTTGAGTGACAAGAATAAAAGATGTACAAGTTTAAAAAGCATTTACACTTAATAACTATTTCTTGAATTGGAAAGTAGGAACAATACATTTGTGGCATTATTCTTGATATCTTTGTATATCTTAAATATTACCCAATTACTAAAATTTACCTAATTTTCAAACAAAACTATCTACAAATATCCAAGTATACGCAGAGAGGATTTCTGGAATGAATCAGAGGAAACTATTGACATCATCTGCCCATGGAGAATGGAACTGGGGACCTGTGGGAAGAGCAAGACAAACTTTTCACTATTTTATGGTTTAAATTGAATTGTCCTGTTTCAATTTACACTATATGAAATTATTGTCTTCATAATGATGGCAATTTTTATGGCAGAACATCTTAAACAGTACCCTATATATTTTTAACATATATAGATGGAACCTTATATGTAATCTGAAATGATTTCATTTTAGACCATTTATTATAATATCTGATCTTTGCTCAGCTGTGCGATGACACAGGGGTTAGTCCCTATGTTTTCTTAGGTGTGTTCTTTGTTCTAACAGCTTTTAAACTACTTGATTCTATCTACACAAGGTTTTTGCATTAATAATGGTCTAACTCATTGCCATATGTTTAAGCAGTTGATGATCTCAATTCCTCTTCTCGGGAAATGTGATGTTAACGCTGTGAGCAATATGGACCACAGATGTCATGAATTCAAGGAACGTCATTACAGCATTTCATTCTACGGGTAATATTTTGTAATGCTTCCATAAAATCCCATGTGTGTGATCTTATAAACCTTCACACTAGTAGAAGGAATCATCTCTATATTATTTTGTGATAATAACCATTAGTATTTTTAACCATGAAATAAAGTCTAGCGCCATTCCAATTCCATCCATTTCAGCAAATGCTTACTGAATGCCTACTCTGTTCATGGCTAAGGTAGAAACATGAATAAGACATAAGTTCCTGCCTTTGAGGACAGAAACTTGTATTCTAATGAAGCACAATTGGCTTCACTTAATCTTCAAAATTAAACATCTAGAACTATTGGGTCTGGAAGCAAATACTAATCATCACGGCTTACTCTCTTTCTTCCTTCAACCCATCGGTGAATAGAAAATGCTCCCCAATGTTACCTCCATTGTTCTCAAGGTATGAGAAAATGTCCACACTATGTGAGCAGCTCACAAAGACTAAGCAGATGTGTGCAATGATTAGTACTGCAATCAAATAAATCTTACAACCCAGTTGATCTGGCACACATTTAATGATATGCATAATCATTATTATGCAGCCTGGTAATTACCTATAATTGGTAAATAATTCATGTAAATTACTGTAATTGATACAGCTCTGCACTTAAGCCAAGATTTCTAGGGTCAGCTAAGTAGAATAAGAAGAAGTTAGTTGGCCCAACTGAAAACCCCCTAATCATCTAACACAGAGGAACCCAAGTCCTGTCTTGCCCTATCAGGGCCTCCCACTCTTGTGTTTCACAGGAGCCCCAAGCTGACAGCTGAACCTACACCCCTAGGGATTCCAATTCTGGACACTTCTGAGGGTTACAGTTGTGCGTGGTTTCCTTTAGGGTGTGAGGTGAGGTTTTCTTCCATTTATGGAAGGGAAAAAAGGTCAACAATATTAACTCACATCTCATACTTCAACCTAGAAGCTTGTGAAAGCAGAAGGATTGAAGAAGGCCTCCAGTATTGAAGGAGACCAGATTGAAGGGCTGCGTGGTTACAACTTTTTTTTTTTTAACACTTCCTTCTGAAGCCCAAACCCACATTGGGGGAAAATACCAAGGAACATGACTCCTAAAAAATTAAGCCTTTCACCTAAAGTTTCTCCTCTGAATGTCTCCTAATTAGAGAGGTATGTAGACTAGCACCCTGGGAGTGCACAGGCGGGTCTCAGACATTCCTGTCTTGCATCTCAGGATTTGTTAACTCAGCTTTAGTTGCCCGCACCGGGCTAAGAGTAGAACAGCAGTGAGATGTCTGACAGGGTTGCAAATCATATGTGAGAAATGATTCTGGAGCAAAGGAATGTGGCAGAGAACAGGACCCAGAAAAAAGCAACTGGTAACTGGGTGCATCAGCAGCAGAGAAGCAAAGGTCCAAAACAGGAACTAAAACACACCAACCACAAGAAAACAATGCAATGGAACAAACAGATAAACATAGAATGTGATACCTGTCTTAATCTTGTGATCTGAGCTTGTCTACCTTTTCGGTTCATTAGGTAACAAAAAGCCCTGTTTGCCTAAGAAAGAAACTCAACAGACCTATTTCCCATCAGCACTGAGGCTAGTGCAGGTCTTTTATGCTCAACAATTAATCTTGGTTATCCCAAATTTGGTTACTCTCTCCATGTAGTTAAAACACCCCACATGTATACGCAGGGTGTGTACTCTAGGGATACGTGTCTCTGGAATGGTTACAATGATAATGCCAAATAATGTGCCTGTATTCTTGATGCCTAATGGAAAAATTATAGTGACCTGGAGCCCATGTACAGCCCTAAGGAAAGGATAATCATTCTAAGAATGTTGGAAATCACAGTCATTGAACATTGGAAAGACAGTGAGGGTGAGAGCAGTGTAGGTTGGGACAGTAAGGGATTCTGAATAGTGGAGCTTCATAGTGTTGCAGACCCTGACCCAAAAATGCAGCTTGAGGGACTCTCTGAGAAACGGGATTAATAGACCAGAGAGTGTCTATTAAACAGGCAAGGTTTATTGAAGGCTTGTGCTCAAGAACAAAGAGGCAGCCCAAGGACAGGACTCTAGGCTGATTCTCCTAGGGGAGTCTGAGGTCAGTCTTTAAGCTGTCACAATCTTATGTCCTTCTTTGAGGCCATGTGGCTTGTCCAGAGCTAAGCTTACATTTTGATCTTTCATAAACTCTGAGGTTCCAGAGCTGTTCATGAAACTATGGAATGCCCCTGGATGGCTGAAAGAAGGTAACTGCTCATTGGTACACAAAGAATGAGCAGAATAATGTGTAACTTAGAACAAATTGGGCAGAAACAGAGTAATTATAGAAAAGTACATTCTTTCTGGTGTCCATCATGCCTTCCTGTCCCAGGTCCCTCTGACTGCCATGAAGCTGGTGGTTGGTCTGACCTATTCCTGTCCCTACCCTTCCACATCCCCTATTTTAACAGACAGAAATGAATGTTGTCCTTCCATGAGAAGACACCACAATCTATTCCTATAGTCTCCTAGACAAGGATAGTAATGTGTCTGCACAGAGCTACTACAGATTTCCTAAAGAGCATTCTCCAGAACACTAACTCTAAGGTTTTAATAGGGTCAGTACTCAATTTTATAGCCTCTGATTTAAATTATGCACGTATGTTTTCATACTACAGGACTTCTCAGAGCCTCTGATATGTTAATATACACTATGGAGACCCAAGAAAAAAACAGGTTATGAAGAATTTTATGAAATCCAAGTTCATCTTTTCTCTCAGGCCTTTCTCTTTTCCCTTTCCCCATTATAGAAAAAAGTAGGCTGTATTCTTTCTTGTTTCTGGGGAGAGGCATGGCAGGCATTCTTGATTTTTTTTATTTTCAATCAAGCAGGATTAGATGAAAGAGAAGTTTGGGGTACTCCAGGAGCAGGAGCACATCCTCCTATTCCCTCCCAGGGTGAGATCTTGGTGGTTTCCACCCTCACCAAAGACCAGGTGCCCCAAGCAGAATAGAGCAACAGCAGTGAGTCCACCCAAGGGGAGGGTACAGCTGAGTTAGTGAGCATCTCCACAGGAAGCAGTAGGTTTAGACATCCCCAAAATGCCTAGGCATCTGTAAGACCATAGAATCTTGATATAACCCCTTGGAGAGAGAAGAGGAAGAAATTCCAATTATGTCCAAGTTGAACTTTCCCATCAACCTGAAGAAATAGCAGATAAGAGGTCAAGTCAGATTGGATCTCCTCATACAACTAAGCCTGTGCACTGAGATTCCTACATACAGTATCTGTTTATCCATGGAGTCTCTTTTTTCTCACGTATCTCAGAATTGTTTTTTGTAGAACACATGTAAGATGATACTGGGGTAGATTATACCATCTTGGGAAAGACAACGCTTAATCAATATTCTTGACTCAAGAACTGCTGCATCTACTGAAAAGTTGTGACTCTGAGTAAATCAGGAAGAGAATATCAAAAATCCCTTCTGTTAAGACCCAGACTGACCAGAAAGAGCACTAAACCCTTCTAGGAAACATGTTTATGGGAATTATGGTGTTGCAAAGCCCACCTTTGAAAAACCAATTTTGAAAGACAAGTAAACAGAATTGCAAACAAAAATCCTAATAAACACCAAAAAATGCAGACTGGAAGCAACGCTTCAAGGGCAAAAGTTGCTCTTTCAAACCTTCACAGAGCCAGCTCCCCTAGAGTCATTGAGCACTGACACAAAGAAGAGAACTCATTCCCTGTGCCCACAGGAAACTTTGGCTTTAATTTTAGCTCATTCACAGGGTGTGAAGATTAAATGAGATGATCTTCATAAGACATGTAGCAGAGGACCTGGCCTCTGGCAAACATATCTGGGGGTGGCAGTTGTAGTGGTAACAGTAGGAACACATATATAAGCAAAAAGAAGATGGATTTTTCTCTTGTAGCAAAGTCCTGGAGAGGAGAGAAGACAAAGGACCCACAGTTTAAGATGTTGAATTGGAGTGTCATTATAGTATAGGAAAAGAGGCAAGAGATATCTGTCCTGGCAGCCCACCAGCCCAATTCAGTTCCTAGCCACAGAAGAGAGAGGATCTAATTAAATTTCTATCTTCTAAGAAGCATTTCAGGGTGTAAGACTATCATTACTAACAACTGTAGATATTATCACTCATTTGACAGAAATAAATCTTCCTTAGGGCACCTAGAAACTGCAAATGGAGAAGAGGTTCTAATAAGATGGATTTCTACATTTTTGGATGACATCTCAAGCCTACATCAGATGTGACAGCATAAATACCTCTGACCCATTAGATAACTGATTTTTTTTAATTAATTCCTTGCTCTTGAAGTCTCTCAAATATACAGCAATGCCTGCCCTTATCCAGATTCAAATGACTCCTAGAAAACAGTCTTCCTGTGACTATAAAACCATGGGGTATTCATATTATTTCTTAATAGATATGTTCTCCATTTCCCCACCTTCACTTACTCCTCCAGTGGTTTTTCTTGCTGTAACAAGTCACCATTACCTGCTCGTTTCCACACAGGGCAGCCATCTGGAATGAAGTGGCGAAGAAAGATAATGCTTTTTCAGAAAGCTCCCTCCCACGTGAGGTATGTCAAATGCAGAATTGGTATTTTTAACTTTTAAGTCTCTTTATCAGAAATCTCGCATTATCTAACTCATCTGTTCTGAGGAACATGCAGCCACATCAATAATTTTATGGCTTCCTTTGGAACTCAAAATAAGTTTAAAGCCCATAAATTTTCTTCTGTGACCACCTCTCCTCAAAGTTGACAGCCACAGATTCCTGTACAGATAGTCTTTAAAGCAGCAACTAGTGACTCTCTTTATTTGCACAAAATCTCAGCTACCATGCTGGGTTTAATTTAATCTTTTCTAGTAATTGTTCCCTTGAACAATGCTTATTTGTTGAAAATAAACATGCAAGTAGGTATTACTAAGCCGCAGCACTATGATTAAGAGATGACACCAGGTCTGGGCACATCCTAGACCTGCCACCTACCAACTGGAAGACCGCAGCAAGTCACCTTACTTCCCTGTGACTTCCTTTCCTTATCTATAAAATGGGAATATCAAAGGATCCACCTCAAAGAATTGCTGTGGGGATTAAACTGGTGCTAAGTAAGTGCTATCTAAAACGCTCAGAACAGGGCCTCCCTGGTGGCGCAAGGGGTTAGTTAAGTTGCAGCACTACAAAGCTATCAGCAGTCACTGCAATACGACTGGAGTTTGATCCTTGGTGGGTCAGGGATCCCCCATGGCACAGCAAACCCACATGGCACAGCAGACCTCTCCTGACTTGCTTACTGCTCCCCTCAGCAGTGTATTTCAGTCAATCCACCTGTTCTGTTCCCCATTCTGTCTCTGGTGAATCCTCTCACCACCTGCACCCCTGGCCTGTACTCCAGCTCTTGTATACATAAATATTTAAAAAATAAATAAATAAATAAAATGCTCAGAACAGTGCCTGGCAGGTAGTAAGCACTCAAATTTTAGAAGTAGTAATATCAATAGTAATTACTACAGTAATATTGTGGTGATGTTAATATTAATAATGATATATGAAATACAAATAATTATTACAATAAATGTACAAATAATAATTGTAGCTATAATATTAATAATAATATTCATAAATGCATGTAATCAACAAAGTTATCCTATGGATGCTGGTGTAAATTATCCTATTCTTAATACAGTTACTAATCTTCACTTCATAGATGATTGCTGCACCACTAAATTGATTCTACCTGAGAAATGTGAATACTTCAAGTCTCCCCATGTATACTGACCTAAACCAACAAATACATGCACGTATGAACAGCAAATGCCAAAATCACACACCTGGTAATGAGAATGCCACTATACTATCACTCAGCACAGGCCTTGGAAAGAGGATTCTACCATTTATTCATTTCGTATAGACCTATTACCTGAGGATCCATTGCCCCTTAGAGCAGAGTTACCTGTGTTTATTATTAATACAATATAGTGATCAATGCAATGTATGCCCCCACAATATTCTTTCACATGGAAGATGTGAAAGAGGAGGATCCACATGGAGGATGGAAGATTCTAACAGATTGCTCTGCATAACAGAAGCGGCCAACCTCTGTAAAGCTGATCCACTAATCCTACTCCTGAGAAAAGAAGAAATTAAAAAATGAAGAGATATATATTTATAAACATTTGTTGCCTGTGCAACCAGCACTAGAGAGATGATTAAATAAATGGTACATCAACTTGATAGACCATTACAGTGCAATTTAAAAATAATTATGACATGTAGCATAATAGAGCATGTAGCAACATAGAGTTAAGTGGGGGAAAAACAGAACTCAAAAATTTATCTAGTTCATTACTACATTGATTGTAAAAGAAAAATGGATACCTAAATGCCATCAGTAGAAGAGTTAATTACATTAAGAGTTAATTACATGCTAGCAAAATCATGCTGTCCCTTTGAATCTTATTTCACAATTTGATCTAGTACTTGTATTTTCCACCTAACAGTAGATCTTGGTAGATCTTCTCATGTCAGTACGTAGGGATCCTCCTTATTCTTTTCAAAGGTGGGGAGGAGAGAGAAGAGAAATTTTATTATAAGGAATTATGGAGGCTAAGACATCCCAAAAGTTGCAATCAGCAAGTCAGACACCAGGAGAACTGATGGTATAGGTCCATTCCAAGCTTGCATCTGAAAGCAGAAAAAGACTGATGTACCAACTCAAAAACAATCAGGCAGAGAGAGGGAAATCTCCTTTACTTGGCCTTTTTTGTTTTCTTCAGACATTCAACACTTTAGGTGAGACCCACCCCCACTGAGGAGGGCAATCTGCTTTACTCAGGTACAGATTCATATGTTAAATCACCAAGAAACATCCTCACAGACATACCCAGAATAATGCTTAACCAACTGCCTGGTCATCCTGTGCTCAATTCATGTTGATACATAAAATTCATGGCTAGCCCTATCCTATTCTTTTTCTCATATGCCTTCTGAGTGCACCCTCCAACAAATCCCTTAAACAAGAACACCCATCTCAGCTTCTGTATCTGGGGAAAGTGACTCAAATTACCCACTATGCACCAAGAACTTTAAATATCAATGTTATTATTTAAGCCTCAAGGCATAAGGCAGTACAGAATGGTGTTTTATTGTTTCAGAACATTAAAACCACGGACTTTGAAATGAGATACTATTTCAAAGATCTGGGTTAAAAAATATAAATTAGCTAGATAAGTTTAAGCCAGTTACATAACCTCTTTCAAGCTGTTTCCTCCTCCATAAAGTGGGACTAATTACGTTCTCTAATACTTAATTGATTTGTTGTGAGGATTAAGATCACCACACAATGAGATATACAATCTTCCTTTTCCTAAGTATTGATCTTAACCCAGGACCATATTTTCCATTTGTAAAAGCAGTATAATGATAATAAAGACAAAAATTAAAAACCCAAAATGGTCTCTTGTTGGGTATTTGTTGAGTGAGTAGAAGCGGTAATGCAGACGATGTTCATATAGCTGCACTGGTACAATATATATTATCTGTTGATACTCAGATAGCAACTAAAGCCTTCCCTCCTGAAATCTAGGTCAACTTAGGTAGACCCAACAAGACCTATGAAAATCTAAAGTCCTCCCTTCTTTTGCTGGCTTACCTATTTCCCTTTCTCTCCTCCTCATCCCATTCTTCACTTCTTTTGAAAAGAAGAAGTAAATTCCTCTACCAACTCCTGTTACCACACTTTTACAACAAAATCCACAGTACCAGACAAGAAAGAAGTCTTTGCTTCAATTAGACCCACCCTATTTAGAAAAGAGCTTTTGTTTAAAAACTGAAATTTTTGTTCCTGTAACACTATAAATCCCAATGAGGATGAATTCTACCTTCATTTTAAATATGAGGAAGTTGAGATGGAAAGAGGCTATTAGAATTCTTGCCAAAGTCAAAGGGTAAAGCTCAAATTTGAACCTAGGTCATTTTAATTCCACAACCAGTGGCCTCAACTACTGCAGTATCAAAAGAGAAAAACAAACAAAAACAAACCCTAGAGATCATTTGGCAATATTCAAGTCTGTGGCAACAGTCTTTACCATAACTTTAGCCAGATGTTCCTCAGAGACATGCCAGTGCCTCCAAGGGTGCAAGGGGCTTCAGCAAAATAGCATGAAATATTCAGTGCAAATCATCAGTCCCATTGCAGAAACAATGCAACAAACATAATCCACCATCTTCTATGAAGGGTGGCTTTCATATTCAATTGAGATGCCATATTCTTTTCAATTTATTTCTTCAAACAAGTTGTGCATACAAGCGCTTAAAGCCTCCTTTACTTGGAATTAGAGAATGTAATACCTCAGTGCATAATGAAGTATGTGCTCAGTGAGAATTTGATGATTAACTATAGAATGACAATGTTTCTACATTGTGCAGCAGATGGTGGGTAGTAGGAAGTGCCACTGTTGAAGGGACTTTAATCTCAGTTTCATTTAAGTCCAAAGAAGATGAATTCATTCTTCATACTTAATAATGGGCCTACAGACCTAAATTCATGCTCAACTTACCACTCTTCAGTGAGAATTTATTTATTCCAGAGGACAAAATATTCTTTCTTTTTTTTTCAATGGAAGTCCTTTAGTTATTGAGTTATTTCAGGTCCTAACAAAAAAAAAAAAGAAATGTACAAATGACAGGGAGGTGAAGGCTTCAGTTGTATTAATTTAAGATCCCTGGCTTTGAAAACATCAGGAAAGAAACATTTCTACCTTGACAAAGTAAGATCTGAGTGTCAACATCAAACCTAAGCACACATTTTTATTCTGAAAATGTTTTCAAAGGAGAAAAACATTCAGTGACCAAAATTTTAATTTGGAAAGCCCAAAGAGAAAATTTGCAAAGGGATCTCCCCTTAAACCCACTGTTGCCTAAAATGTCCTCATAGCTCATCAGAATCTTTCATGAATTTCCTGAGAATTACAAGAACCTTCTAGACAGTCACTGACTCAAAAGAATTTTCCATGACATTCAGCCTGTTTTCATCTCAAATGTGCCACAAATCAGCAGTATATCTTTGAATAAGTCATTAAATAGTTGTAAGTCTCAGTCTCCTCCTGGGTAAAATGAGAGGCTGACAGTCATATTCTTTGGAGCTCCTAGTGCTGATATTTCATGATCCAATCAAGCTCAGAAAAAAGGAAATAGCAGATAGAATACCTAGGGTTGGTATTAGGTCTAAAGGCATATTTCTCAGAAGCTGTGTGTGTGGAAGGGGACCAGTGGGGTCACCATAGCTCCATCTCAGATGTAGGTACCCTCCTAAGTTGTACAGAATGAGTCCTGAACAGGGAGGAGGGTAAAGCTGGGGTTGTCATTCAAGCCTGTCAATATATAGCCTCCATCCAAGTGAACCACTCACAGGAAATTTCTGGGTTCCTTTGAAAGGAAAAACAACAGTTGGATAAAAATGTACCTTTGGGTACTAGCCTATCTGGTAAGAGAATGGAAAACACAGATATAAAAGAATTTATAATTTCCTATTCATTTCTCTCACTTGAACAACAAAAAAATCAACTTTAAAGAAATGAAGGAACTTCCTCTTCAATGATTTGTGAGAGAAACCAGTACAGGTTCCCCCTCCCTCTCCATCTATCTGAAAGTAGAGCATCCGCATGAAACTTTTGCTGCCTAAACGGTATAAAGTAAAGAAGCAATTACCATTAATTTATATGAAAAAAAAAAAATAGTGTTCCCAGACTCAAAAAATAAACAGCACCAAATCACGCTAAACCCCCAAAAAAGTAAAATCACACTAACATATAGTATAAGCAAGAATTTTATAATACATACCAGCCTGCACAAAGTTTCCAGGAAGGAGCTTGGCAGTGCCACTCACTGCTCGGGTGCAGCTGCCTCTAGAAGGCTGCTGCAAAACCAATGCTGAATGAATGCTAGTTCTCCTTCCATCTTTTGTCATGAAAACAAAAATCCTCTTCAGTTTTGTTAGCATAAATAGGTACTAAATTAAAAAGAAAAAGGGACATAATTTAAACTTTCAAACTGTTGTTACCACCTATATAAGATTTTAAGGGCATTCATGGAGGACAGCCTCAGAAGATAGTGAGAACTGGACTCAGCTGATACCTTCAAAACTTTATAGGTTTTATGATATGTGTTAGACCTTCTTAACACCCCTCCTCCACAGTCCCAGGCACTCTTTCCTCCTGTCTTGAGCTTCACTCTAAATCTGGTGCCACTGATAAACCTACAAACACTGAGGAAAAGTTCAAAATGTACCATGAATGAAGCCAACATGACACACCTTAAAGTGAGAATGTGGAAAAGCCAGGAGACCAAAGGGCACCTGTGAGTAGAGGCAGAATGTGGCTGCCACAACCACCACTCACACTGTTCTGATACCAAAGCCAGGGGTTCCAATACCCTATTCTAGGACCTTAAGCTCTTTTCTGGGACATCAGGGAAGGCTTTCTGAGGATATGACAATGAAGCTGAAGCCTAACTGATGAGGAGTCACACCTGGGAAGTACAGGAACCTCATGTACCAGGAAACTTAGAGTGTTCAGGAAATACAAAGAGCAATGTGGCTGGAAAACTGTTTGTGGGATAGAGCAGTTCTAGATGAGGCTAGAGAGGTGGCAGAGGCCAGACTAAACAAGACAACTGAGTTGCCCAGAATCAAGCCAGGAGCAAGAATTTGAAGGCAAGTAGTTTATTTGGGAGGAAGCAAAGGAAAGGAACAGGAAATTAAAACAGGAAGGGAAGGGTGCATTAGTGAGCAGCTTACCACTGTGCGCAACTGGAGCTCAGTCCCAGGGAGGCTGTCTGGAAGACTACACAGAGCCATCCAGACCTGTGGATGACTGCTACCACCTGAAGGCCAAGATGGTTGGGGTTTTATCCACCAACCCTGGTCCAACACTGGTTGAGACCTATTCCAGGGGCACTAATTTCCAGGGACCTTCTGCCTATTCTGTTGGCAGCCAGAAAACCTCAGAGAGCCACAAGTGGTTGCAGAAAGCTGTCCAACTACACAGGTACAATGAGTCCCAAAGGGATGTGGGTAGGACGCCAACAGCATCTGACATAGTCTTGTAGTCAAAGGTAAGAACTTTGGGTTTTAGTCTAAATGCAATAAGAAGACACTATAGGGCCTCCCCTGGTGAAGCAGCGGTTGAGCGCTGGGCTGCGAGGCTGTCCACAGCCTCTGCAGCACCAGTTCATCCCCCGGCCGCTGGCGAGGGTCCCACAAAAAAAAAAAAAAGCCACTATAGGGTGTTGAGCCAGGCATCTACATATTCTGGGTTACAACTTAAGATGATTGTTCTTACCATGTAGAAAGTTTGGAGGGAGGTTCCGGCAAATGAGGGGAAGTGTCATTCATTCTAACATCCAATGTAGTTCAAGATTAAGTAGTTCTCCCAGATCCCTCTCCAAACACAAGCATCTGCTAACCTTCTCTACCCCTTCAACCAGCTCTTCCAAAAACTTCCTTCCCCTTTCTTTCCCATAGGTGTGCGATCAGCTCACCCCTACCATTCAGATTTAGACTCAGAAAGTCACATTGCCCAAGCTCCTCCTGCACCTATTTGACCCACAGGTTGTCATACTCAAGGATTTAGTGCCACCTTGCCTCATGGCAGCACTCTAGTCCAGCAGAAAGTGAAGGACATGGGGAAAGGATTATACTTTCAAAAAGCAGGTGAAGCAATATTAAGCCAGACAGTTTGAATGAGAATCCCATATGACCTGTGACAAATCACTTAACTTCACGGAGTCTGTGAGATGGAAAGTGTGATAAAGAAGTGAGATATTATAGATAAAAGGATCTGGCGCATAATAAGTGGTCAATATTGTGCTCATTATTATCATTATTATTAATGTACAATGAATATTCAAGTATGCACTTACCACAGAGTCCACATATGGGGTCAGAAAAAAGGTAAAGCTGAAACACACACAATTTTATTCTGATTATTTGTATAGTTTGTAATTCAGGCCAAGATTTTCTTCCATTATCTTGAAAAATTACATATTGGTTGTATATGCTGTTCCCTGAACATCTAAGAAATCATTTGACTTATTGCCTGGGCACTTCAGAATGTCAGCATGATGAAAGCAAGCAAAATTTAAGGAATACTAAGCAAACACCTGATATTCCTTGTGCCAAAGGAAAAGAAGAGCATTTTGTTCCCACTCTAAAGCTATTTTATAGGGAAAAAATAATGATTAGTTCTTGAAATTCAAGTGTTCTGAGTAAAAACTATGAATCTGATGTAAAGCACTGTGCCCCACTTGCACTTCCCCATGTAAGTGAACAGCTTTGCCATTGACTTTGGCAGTAATTAAAAACTAGTGACTTGCCAATGATGAGCTCTTCCATCAAAAAGATAAATTAAGACTATTTGGGACTTGTTTGGGTTTCGTTTTGCCTTCCTTCCATTCCCTAATGCCCACAATTTAAAATAGCCCAATCAGACATCACATTCTCATATATTAAACAAAAGTGGGAAACTACTACACTGCCCCACTTATAGATTCACCCTTTTAACACATATTATCTTGAAAACTAGGAAGAGAAGGGTTTCTTACGCTATAACTCCCCTTTTCTGTGCCCCATCCCATGATTACTAAGCTTCCTTTAGAGAGTAGTTTAAAGGGCATTGAACTTGGAGCCAGGGAACTTCATCTTGAAACTTCAATTTTGTCATCTGGTGAAATGTGAGAGTTGGATTGCAGAGTGATAAGAAGTCCTTGGATTCAAATATTTTATGCTGATAAGGCAGCTCAACCAAATAAATTCCCCCAAAGGTGGGGGGTTAGGGGAGCAGGAAAGCTTCAAAACTTCTTCAGAAAGGAATAAAAGTGATGAAAGAGTAGGGGCAAGGCATGGAGGGAGAAGAACATGGAAGCCATTTTTGCTAGAAGCTGTCTAGAAGCCACTATGAAGAAGTTATATGGAATAAATGAGGAATCAGGCCACACAATATCCTACTCTCTATTGCAGAGATGATTTTCTCCACAACTCTAAAATATCCAAGCATATATTGCCTATTCAACTTTCAAAGTTGATCATTTCAATTTCTGTCAACAAGCTCAAGCATCCTTCTGAATCTATAATATAAATTTTAGCATCTTCTTCTAGAGTGAATGTCAGAGCATAATATCCCCCTTTGTTTCCAGGAGTACTATCTCTACACACTGCAATATTACAAACACAGTAGGGTGGGGGGATTGCATTTGACAGTTTCCTCTAACAGCTCTATACTCCTGCACACCCACTATGTTCTTTTGCCAATTCCATCCCCAGCATTAAGAAAAAAAGCAGAATGTCTTCAAAGTTCAGAAGGAGGGTCAACTTTAGCAAATTCCCTTTTCTCTTCTCTCCTCTCAATAAATGCACAAAAACAGGACATACAGAGGTACCAACACTCTATGTCTAAGCTCGAGCTTTCAGCCCTGTTGCAACAGTGATTGTGCCAGATGCCACCACAATTTTGTTCCCACCATTGTGAAGTTAATACAGGGAACATACAGGAAATGTTTCTCAAATTTGAGTGCATTAGACTCACTTGCAAGAACTTGTTGAAACAGACTTCTGCCCTCCCTCCCACCACCATCACCACGAGTTTCTGATTCAGTCTAGGGAGGGTCTGTGAAACTGCATTTCTCACAGGTTCCTCAGTGCCTCTAATACTAGTAGCCCAGAAACCTCACTTTGAAAATCACAGATGTAGGAAAATCTGTGAGCATCTGGTAAGTTGGAGCCTGCTCATCACCAAGATCAAAAGAAGTCAGGAAGGAAACCTGGGCTCATTTTCTTTCATCCTCAAATTCAGGTCCAAGTAACATGTACCAAAGTTATACAAGGCACTGGGTAAAATGTTTTCAAATATTTTTAAATTCTGCAAGGACCTGTGCTACAGCTATCACCATCCTCGTTTTAAAGGGAAGCAAATTAAGATTGCAAAGAGATTCAGAAACTTGCCCAAGACTACAGAGCTAGCAAATACTAGAGGCAGAATTCAAGCTCAGGTCTTCCAACTCCAAATCTGTCAGGTGACACCAATAATGCTTAAGTTGCCAGTCTCGGAGGCTGCCAAAGGGCTCAACGCAGAGCTTGTCAATGGCATTGATGGAGGAGGGGAAAGTGCTGCAGGAACTGCTGAGGGGCGTTAAAGGAACTCTTCACATGCACATCTGGCTAAGTGGGCTGACAGACCAATTCCCTTCCCTGTACCTCAGCTCTGCCAACTGTGAAACCGAAGACCAAAATAGTTGCCACCTACCCCCCAGCTTGTTCCCAAGAATGAGATAAGAGCTCTCGGCTATTATATAAGCATTTTTCTTTCCAACCCTTCAGCTTTCTGAGGAGTCTGAAAGGTTCCAGATCTTATAAAAGCTGGTTCACCTTTGCTCCCTTGAACTTACTGCAATGGTCACCCTATTCTCCTATCCTCTGACCTCTACCCCTCCCCTTGTGCCCCAATATCAACGAGCTGGGAACTCAAAGTTCAAAGTGTATTCCTAAAACGACATGTGCATTTTTGAAACTCCATTTGTTCCTGCAGACTGACTGATGGAGAATTTTTTTGACAGCTCAGTTGGACACATTTTTAGGTGTTCCTCAGATTCCGCCCTCACTCTGTACCTCGCAGGCCCCTAAGGCATATGCTGTAGGCTCTGCCTGCTGAGTAACTGGCAGGAGGCATGTCACACCTATTTTGTAAGCTTAGAAGCCCCATGTGGAGAGCCTCATCCTCTTAAAATTAAGACTCTTTTGTGGTGCTTAGTCGGTCTCAGCTAACAAACTGAAAGCAAGCATCCCTCATTAATCAACTACTGAACATTCCAGAAAACACATAAGAAAACTCAAAGTGAGCAAATAAAAGATTGATTTCTTTTTATTTCCTTTACTTGGCTTTGTATCTCAAAGGGATGGCGAGCCTCCATTTTCCCCAATCTCTCCTTGTGGGTGTTTGTTTATTAATGGAGTGGAGC